CTTTGCACGACTTGGCATGTAGTACTTGAAATACTAAATGTTGCATGTACTTCTACCACATCAATATAGCTCGATGCTACATTTGTAGTACATACTCAGATGTAACCAACTAGGTGACATGGGAACCCCGCCAGGCTGGCGACATTAACCCCTGGGCCTGGCCTGTATTTGTATTGTATGAAGTACACAGTTTTCTGCTGCTCGTCATCCTCGACGCAAGACTTCGTAGTATTGAGATCAGAGCTCTCAAGGCTCATCTCATCACTTGTTGTCAAGAGCTGACATTTGTCTGATATCCCCGTCCTTCATCCCATGAATCCAAGCAATCCCGATTCCAATATGCCTTTCCGCTTCATCCTCATCGTCAGAGGCAAGCAAGCATCATATCTCACCGAGGCATTTGTATATTGATCCTCGCTCTGCCCGCCTTGTTCTTGTCCAGAGGACAATCCATCCCGCCCATGAGCAGTTCTGGCCCCCAATCACCAAGCCACGCTGGGTCGTCATATTGCCCACCATTTTAATTTTCCTCCCTCATCTCGCCTCGGTTGCTTCCTCTCGAGGCGTCGAAATGTTTGCATGGTGAGCCAAGAAAAAAAAAATCCGCCTAGCTGCCTAGAGTGAAACTTCTCGTCTCTTGTCCAGTCAGTTCCCCAGGTAGCATCATTGAACATGAAGACACTTGATTCACACTTGATTCACACTTGATTCATCTGCTCCCCAGCAACCAACCATGTCTGTCCAAAATAAGGCGACAATGACCAGATCCAAGCCCTCTCAAAGCCTCAACCCGCTCCCTGTGATCATCATCTGCCGCTCTGAACAGACTTCGTATTTCCCATTTCCCCGGTCACATCTACTTCCAGATCTTCAAAAGATTCCAACACATCCGTTCTTCTCTTTTTTCCCTCTTCGCCTCTTTTTTCTTCTTTTTGCCCTTAACCGTTCTTCCCCGCCTTCTTGTCCTGTACGTCTTAGCTCTACCCGTTTCTCAGTGATTGATTGTACTATGCTTCGTTACGCGAATCACTGATCTACACCTCGTACTTGTTTCGCCTTTGTCCGACCATAGTGCTCGAGGATCGGTCGAAAGTAGTGTGTAGTTCTCGGTATCCTTACCCTTTTTTTTCCGTCTATTTCTCTTCGCATTTGTTGTTGTCCCTGTTCTTTTGGCCCATACTTGAGTCAGTATGCAAAATGAAATTCTCAAGTTTTCCCGGCCGCGCAGGGGAAGAGCATTGTTTTTCTGTTTTACACGAAATTAAGTCGCAGTATTAGTGGCATTGCGGTATTGTCGAGATCTTTTTCTGCCAGGCCCTTTTTCCCTTGCTGCCACCGAGAATCGAGTGTGGCTCATCGTGGCTTTCTCAAGTTGTTGCCTCGGGCTGTGCGTGGGCATCCTTCCATCCCAACAGCACATCTCGTATTGAAAGCAGGGACACCTCCTCAGAATATATTAATTTAATCCATGGACCCATTTTGTCCGGCCCTTCTCGGCCAGTTCTATGGGCGGCTTAGGATGACAGCTGCCTTGCCACGGCCAACCAACATGACGATAGGGCTATCGCCCGTACCTTCTGGTGTCCGCATGTCGTATCTCCGTCGTATTCCTACCAACGGGTCGGCCCGGACAAGAGTATTTTGATGTTCTGCAATCCTTTCGTCATTCATGAAGACCAAACCTACTTTGCCGATAAGCCGGTATCATCTTGAAGCAGGCTAGGTAGTCTGATGGGAATATCCACTGGTCATGGAGAGGAAGGGGGGTGATTCCTTCGCCCCAAAGGCGCTCAGCCTGACCCCCTTGCAGGTGCGGTGAAGTTCGAGGTCCACAGCGCGAAATCTTCTGAGCCAACATTCCATTGCAAGATACGCACGAAGAAACACCATTGTAACTTGAAATCTAGGGGTAAGTACGGCCTGTCACGCGTTTGAGGCTCGTGTCTTGCCGTATAGTGTCGCGTGCTAGTTCATAGACCTCAAATGGCGCATGCTCTTGAGTGAGGAGTTTGTCGATCTGGTGCTTGCTAGTTGTATACACTAGCTGCCTAGAGGGAATGTGGCAATCACACTTCTGTGCCTTTCCTACGTGGAACACAAGGATGGCTTTTTAATAAGAAGAAGAATGATGGAGCTGTCAGATGATACCGTGAAGTCGACATCTCAGCTTAGGACTAGGTTAGTCGAACATGTTATTTCGTAGTACTCATGCTTCGTTCCTAGCTGGCTAGAGACCAGCTACGTCTATGTTAATATGCTCCAGCATATGGAATCTGCTAGACTCGAAAGGTGCACCGGGCTGAAGCCTCATGGAGTAGTGTGAAGCTTTGAGAAAGGCCAGGAGGAACGCGTGGAGGATAATGACTCTGATGTTGAACACTCCCCACATCTCTAGTTATTATGGGATATAGGGAAAATGCGCCTACTCCATGCAATCGTAGCCACGCCACGGTTAAGAATGTAGGAGGGAAGACCTAGTCGACAGCCCTTCCTGAGGAGAGACGTTTCCGCTTGGCCGCGAATAAAGCCTGAGAACCCATGCCTTCAACCACTCTTAATCGTCGAGTTTTCACATACCAAGTTCGGACAAGACAATTCCTGGCACTCAAGACTTGCTGAAGGGTAACGGGGTGAAATAAGACCTAAGAGTTCGCTGAATTCCCACGAATCACTGCATATGGACAGTTGTTGACTATTCGTAGCTCGATCCACTCTCGATAGATTTAGGTTCGAATACTTATACATGCCCAAAAAGATTTCAGACAGCGGTATTCCCCAAACGCGAACTACCTCTAGCCTTGTAAGACTAAGTCGAGTCCATACCCAGAACCAGGATCGTGTGGACCTAGATATCTGTAAATGTAACATCGGTCTTTCCACCTCTTCACGGAGGCGAGTAAGGGTATTCGAATCCGAGGAAGATGCTGAAGAGTTGAATACTGTGGTGACCGTGGTGGTCATGGTGATAATGGTGATAATGGAGTTGGTCCTAAGATCCGGGTCCACGCGCTTGAGGTTTAGGTTCGTGGGGGAGATTCAAGGCATGTTATGAGCTGAACTCCTAGTGAAAGCTTACACCCCGGATGCCTCGGGGCTGGGGATAGCGACCATGAAAGCCGGGTACTTCAGATGGATGGTCGGCGGGTAGAACAAGAGACTATATGCAGATGGAGACGCGTCCGAATGAGATATCTAAAAAGGGGACCGCCAAACAGAGCCGTCCGGGCCATTCCCAACCTTCGCTCGCGGCCCAAGGGGCGAACTAAAGTCTGAGCGAAAACACAGCAAGAAATTGGGTGGTGTAAGAGCGTGGAATGGGTTTGAAAGGCATCGAGACCGGGTCAAGACCTTGGCTGCAATCTGGCGTCAAGGTCCAGGGGTTGGCTACACCTCCTTCAGACTTCGGGAGGATGCCTTATTCTAGGTAGCGGGCGTAAAATATAGGCAAGGAGAACGGATCCGGGCACTTTTCTTAAGAATCTCCATCATTAGGGTGATCGCCGAGACGTCATCAAGTGTAGTGAGAATACGCATGTGCCGGAATGTCGCCCTTCTTAGCTTACACTTCCCACCCCGAATCAAACCCCGAGATCTCTTTCAATGACCAAGCAAGTTACGAGAAGGCCGAACGGATCATTCATATCGACAATTCTGTTTCCCATCGTATGGCTCACATTAGAAATTAAAACAAAGGGGGAATGACAGAGAAGCAGATCACTGAGAACAACCATGGTCGCTCTCCTTACGCCTTTTTTCACCATCTGGGCCATCTTGCTTGTCAGATTTGGACCTCGTATCAGGATAGTAGTTCTTGTCGTCGGTATTGTTTAATTCTAAGAAGATGCCGGCTCTTACCACTCCGGCTACTACGATGCCGTTCTATTGAATGGCTGATCGAATCCCAATGGCACGCCGAGTGGGTTGAGAGTGATACCCGCTCAATCCTCCGCGCTCGGCATGACGTTGTCGCCGTCTCAGCCCTTTTAGCTTTTACAGTCTCATAGAAGTAGGTGCATAACGAAGGTCTAGACTTGGATCATTCTGGCGGCTCGTCATCAAGGGGAGGGAAGACCTCCTTTATGACCCCTCTCTCGCAGTTCTGGCTTCGCGCAGTCAACGTGCGGGATATGAAGCGATTGGCCACCACTAGGAACACCCTACGAGATCAAAGGCTCTCCTAATATCTATTGGAGGGAGAGGCTGGTTAACGAGTTTCTATCCACGACTAGTAGAGCAATTTCGGAGAAGAACCCCACGTATAAGTTTGCAGCGACTTGATGCTCTTCAGAATGATGGTTTGACCAGTGAACCGTCTCCTCTGAGCCGGTGATATTGATATCCCGCTTCAACTCGATGAACTAGAGTGCTTTGCCTTCCCACTCCCCGGCCATGAGCAACTAATTAACTAATTATTGATTGCCGCAAAGATGGGCTAGTTAAACGGGGGAAAACAACCAACGAGAGGCGCTATACTAAAACGGTCAATATATTTTACACAAGCAGAACTGCAACACGAACCGCCAGTTCGTCTGGCATATGATATTAGTCCTTGTCGATACTCTGCAATCCCCGTCGAGTCGAGCGGAATTGAAAGGACGGAGCGAACCCGGTTACGGTCGGGGATCAGAATTCGAATGATCAATAATATCAATAATCGTGTCGTCGCAGGGAGGTGATTGAGTTCGACAGCGTGGCTCCAAAGCAAAAGTGCCCAGTGAACGTCAAATCGGAACCGTTCGAAGGTGAAATGGCGGGGCAAAAACGGGAAGTTGCCCTTGAATGGACCGCTGCAGTTGCACGCCACTTTACACCCCTTGCGTCCGTGAGCTTGCCTCTTCCCTCTCAACAAACCATATCGAAGCGGGATAAGTCCGGGACCTTAACACATTTAGCAACTCCGCATGCGATAAACATTAAACTGTAGCCAAGTCGTCCATTTCCCCCACCGCTCCATCCTCAGTCTTTTACCTTTTGTCCACCACGTCTCTCCCCCATTCTAAATGCTCAAGAGACCATCGTTCCTCCTGATGGTCTATCGCCCAGTAGCTTCTTCTCCCTCTATGGCTCAGAGAACCCGTATCCCAACCCGCTTGGTCGCCACAGCTTCCGCGACAGCTTCCCCGGACATGTCTTCACTCAACGCCGCCAAGGACTTTATTCGTTTTGTAAACGATTCTCCTACCCGTATGTTGAGACCGCGGGGATCGAACGTCGATGGATCCCCCCCCGGCCCCGCCTTCCTTCTCCAGCTTCACGTGCTAACGCTGCAAATCATCTCCTCTTAGCCTACCACGCTGTTGCCTCTGCCGTCTCTCGCCTCCAGAAGGCCGGCTTCGTCCACATCAAGGAAAAAGACCCCTGGGTATCCGAAATCCAGCCCGGCGGCAAGTACTTCATAACGCGCAACGCCTCGTCCATCATCGCCTTCGCCGTCGGTCGCAAATGGCGTCCCGGAAGCCCCATCGCCATGGTCGGCGCCCACACCGACTCGCCCTGCCTCCGCTTCAAGCCCGTGAGCAAGAAGACGAACGCGGGCTTCATGCAGGTCGGCGTCGAGACATACGGCGGCGGCATCTGGCACAGCTGGTTCGACAGGGACCTCGGAGTCGCTGGTCGCGTGCTCGTGAAGACCTCCGACGGCGCCATCGTCCCGCGCCTCGTCAAGATCGACAAGCCCGTTCTTCGCATCCCGACCCTGGCCATCCACCTCGATCGATCTGCCAACTTCGAACCTAACAAGGAGACCGAGCTCTTCCCCATCGCCGGGCTCGTCGAGGCCGAGCTCAACAAGGCCGATGAGAAGGACGTTGCAGCCGAGGCCGAGAACAAGCCCTTCCAACCCCTCGCCGCCATGGGCGAGCGCCACCACCCGCACATCGTCGACCTCATCGCCGAAACAGCCGGCGTATCCCCCTCCGACATTGTCGACTTCGAAATGCTCCTCTTCGACACCCAACCCCCCTGTCTCGGCGGCCTCAACGACGAGTTCATCTTCTCGGCCCGCCTCGACAATCTTAACATGGCATACTGCACCATCGTCGGCCTCCTCGAATCCTCCACCGACGCCTCCCTCGAAAACGACTCCACCATCCGTCTAGCCGCCTGCTTCGACCACGAGGAGATAGGTTCCCTCTCGGCCCAAGGCGCCAACTCCAGCTTCCTCCCCTCCATCCTCCGCCGCCTCGCAGCCGTCAAGGCCACCAACGACGACGACGCCAGCTGGGACGTCGAGCCCGACTCCTCCGCCGCCTTCGAGCAGACCCTCGCCCGCTCGTTCCTCATCTCCGCCGACATGGCCCACTCCGTCCACCCCAACTACGCCGGCAAGTACGAATCCGACCACCGCCCCGTCATGAACAAGGGAACCGTTATCAAGGTCAACGCCAACCAGCGCTACGCCACGAATTCCCCCGGTGTCGTCCTCGTACAGGAGTGCGCCCGCCGCGCTGAGGTGCCCCTCCAGCTCTTCGTTGTGCGCAACGATTCGCCTTGCGGCTCGACTATTGGCCCCATGCTGAGCGCCAAGATGGGCGTCAGGACTCTGGATCTGGGGAATCCCCAGTTGAGCATGCACAGTATCCGAGAGACGGGCGGTACCCACGACGTCAAGGTTGCTGTGGAGTTGTTTAGGTCATTTTACGAATCGTATGGTGAACTTGAAGAGAAGATTATTGTGGATTGAAGGAAGAGGGGTGGGGGTAGGTTAATTGGTCCGTTGACAGACGGCTTTCTTGGATGGAATATCATTGGCAACTTTAGACATCACAGCATGATTACGCATTTAAAGTACGAGGCCAAAACCTGCGAGACTGATTCGAGATCTAGAGAAGGTAGGAGATAGATCTATCCGCCTTGACACGATGACCTCAGATTCGGGTTTGTAGTTTATCATTACACGAATGATAAAACAAAGACGAAAGAACTTTCAAGTCATTCAAATCTTTCTTTTTCTCTCTTAATTTGGTCTCCGATGCCACCTATGATACATATAACTTGGTAAACCCACCCCCCAATCCTTTATAACCCCCCTAACGGCAGTATAAACAGAGAAGAAGAAAAAGAAAAAAATAAAAATAAAAGCATAATCTCAAACGCCGGTCCAGCGAAATTCGGTTCAACAACTCATTATTCTAATCGAAGGGGGTGATGGTGTTGGCAATGTTCTAGAAGAAAGAGAAAGAACTGATAAAAAGTTAGGAGGTTGAGGAGAAGCGGATCGTCATCGAGAAGAAAAGTGCGGCCAAGGACGACCGCAAAGGGGTAAACGGGGGTAGAGAGGCGCACTCTGCGCATCGTCGACGGGCCAGCGAGGCCGAATCATTTTCATCGTTACGGACTCCGGCGCACAAGGTGCAGTTGCTTTCGGCTTTGACCTATCGTCGAGAGGTCTAATCCTTACTTGCCATCACCTTCAGGTTTCTTCCCTTCCTCAGCGGGCTTCTCTTCAGCGGGCTTTTCCTCTGAAGCCTTGTCATCGGGCGTCTTTTCGGACTGGCCTTCGGATCCGTTCTCGGGAGCTGGCTTCTCCTTTTGTTCTTCCGGTTTCTCCTTCTCCTTCTCCTCTGTCTCCTTTCCCTTCTCCTTTTCGTCGGCCTCCTTCTGCTTCTTTTCCTCCTCTTCCTTCTTTTTCTTTTCCTCTTCTTCCTTCTTCTTCTTCTCCTCTTCCTCCTTCTTCTTCTTTTCCTCCTCCGCCTTTTTCTTTGCCTCTTCCTCTGCCTTCTTCTGAAATTGTTGTCAGTGATTACTTGCCAATGACAAAAGGCTGATCAGCCAAATCAACGCACCTTTTCAGAATCCTTCTTCCCGAAGAATCCCTCGCCATTGTCGCCTTCGCAGCGTTCCCTCTCAAGCTTCATGTCCATAATCATGCTCAACTCAGGGCAGTACTCAAAAATCTTCTTACGCTGTGCCTGGTTCTTCCAGACTTCGTCCCTGAGATTCTTGCCCTCCCGCACGTGGAAACCCATGGCGTTGTCGAAGTAGACGTCCTCGACGGCGAGTCTACCCTGGTCGCCGGCAGCGACTTTGTGATTGGGGAGAACCCAGAGGCGCTTGCCGAACCACTCATCTTCGGGCTCGGTATCGTTGTATCGCTCTTGGAAGGTCAAGACTTGGCGGATGGCGCTGACGCGGCGAAGCGAGAGTCCACCGTTTCCGGAGAATCGGTCATTGGCGCTCCTGTGAACACCCTCCTTGTCAGTAAACTTACTCTTGAGAAAATCGTAAATAACGGGAGGGCGCTAGGTCGTGTGCTTGCGCTCCCCAACAATGCTCGTCTAGATTATCCACATACCTTGGCGCGCCAGCCCAGCTCCAGTCGAGCCAGTCATTCAAGCTAGTTTCCGAATTTGCGCACATGATGCTGTCGGACTCGTATTTGAGAATCCACTCGACACCGGGCATAAACTCGTCGTAGAAGCGCATATCGGTAAGGGTACGGAAGACATGTTCCTTGCTTTCGATGCTCCATGGGGAAGGAAGGACCATGAGGTCAAGTTTGCCAATGATCTGCTGGTGTTTGATGGTGAAGGCACGGCCGACGCTGACGACGCTCTTCTCGGAGCCGATAAAGAGGAACCTCCAATCGGGAGGGACCACAGAAATCATATGTAGGATATGGGGAACAAGATGGGGGATCGGGCGGGGCTCGATGAGAAGGGCGACCTTTTGACTGTTGTACTTTGCGCGGGGGTCCTCGTCGACTTTCCAGTCCACCTTAAGTTTGGGGATTTTTTGCCTCGCCTCGGACAGTCGGGATTTGAATTCGGCTTGTATCATGGGGCTGAAGTGTGGTAATAGGCCGGCGATGAGCCATCTGTTCGAATCAAAAACTGTTAGAATAAGGCTCGAGACAGCACGTCCAGTTGGTAGGGGAAGGGAGGTAGAATGGCGTACGTTAGAACTAGAGAGAACACCACAAGGATGCGGACCTTGGTTATGTGTTGAGCAGCCTTGATAAAATGTGGCCGCAAGGCGAGGGTAGATGAAATGACAGCCATGTTGGCTAGAAAGAGAGTGTGGTGTGAGTATTAAAAGTCAGGTAAGGACGTGAACCGAGACTGGAAAAAAAATATATCGAACGACAAAGAAGAATGAATGCAGTTCAAGGCTGTGTCATGAATTAAGAACCAGTAGATGATCAAGGAAGTAATACACCACCATCAACGAGACTTGATCAAGCGCATCTCATCTTCACAACACACTTGGGTAGTTGGGTGAAGTGGAAGTGGTGATGGTTGGAGATGGAGACCTTTCTTGGCTGATGGATGTAAAGTTAAGATCTAACGCTCGGTCTTGTCTGCGAAGCGAAGTCAAGGACAGGGATGGGTCGTGGATCAATGTGGGCGAAATGCAATTTCAGGGGGCGACCCACTAGGACTTGACGAGTTTGACGGCAAGACTTCGTACTTCGTACTTTGCTGGAGCAAGGAATCGATTGCATTGGGGCCAAAAAATCGATACAAAACCCAATTGGTGCATGAGATAATTACTTTACTCCTGCCCCCTTTGGGAAAGGGGGTCTGGGGCGAGAACGGAAGGAGAATCTAGCATCCCACTGTTCTTCATGTACTTCGTAACATGTAATACAATACGATCCTGCCAGCGTGTATTCCACGTATTGTATAAAAGGTACATAGAAGTCCTTCCAACAGGATCGCCGTTCCCGCCTCGCTATGGGCGGACATGTGGACCCACGCGTCCATTCCAACCAAAACCGTTGCTGTATTCGGGTACAGGCGACACACTAGTACTGAGTGCGGCTTGAAATTAGTATGCACTGTGTACACATACTACTTTTTTCGGAAACCCTGACAATTTGCTACTCTCGGAGCGCCGTCCCTGACTGGACCAGACACTCTATGTATCACCCCACTGTGTCAATGTTGGTGGATTTTGATTGCGAACACCATTACGAAGCACGAAGAAGCATGGCAGAACGGGGAGCGTCTGTGACATTGCTTCGTAAGATACTCATGCACATCGTGATATCTGTCCAACTCGGCGCTTCACCAAGACATAGACCGGCTCGTTATGTTTGGTTACACGGAATCAATGCTGTTTGCTTGAGCAGATCCTAATCAAAGGGAAAACCGGAAGAAGAGCAAGAAGAGGGAAAGGCTGGAAAGAGAGAAGCCGCGAGATAGTTTACTTTGGGCCTGTGCTTCGTAGAATACGTCGTATTGCCTTCTTCTCCTCCACCTCATCCCTGCTTAGGTCTCGCGACTCTACTGCTCATGACGAACATCAGCCCGATAGTCATCGATTAGTTGAATTTACGCATCCTTGAGAGACAACGGGCATCGGAGAACCTCGAGTGTTGTCTCAAGTCCACTGTAATTTTTGCTCCCGTTCCTCCCGTGTGAGGCTGAGTAAGAACTAACCTACTTGTCTTATTTATGTCAAACAAACTTCCACACGTTTCAGAAAAACTTGTGGACTATTAAAACTTGAGATACCTTTGTATTGGAGGACGGAGTAGATCAGCGATGCGCAACGCGCACCACCAATTTCGATAAGCGAGGAGCCCTGTATTGATTGGTTGGGCCAGGGTTGTAATATAATTGCACAATCTTCCTCCCAGTATCTGCAAGAAAGCACGACCGGGGGAGGAATGGGGCTGAGATAAGAGTCTGGCCCGAAGAATAAGGTGGGGAGGGGGAAAAAAGGCCCCAAAAGGGGAGAGAAAAAGGACGGGAACAAATGGGAAGAAAAAAAAGGCTCCTGGTTGGATCCTGTGCCATGATCCTACGCTCACACAAGTAATACGAAGTATGACCGCGGAGAAGCTCGGGGGCACCAACTCAATTCCCCGTCTGAATTTGAGAGCGATGGATAGTGAAAAGGGCTTGGTCCTGAAGTTATTTTAAGGTCAACCACTTCACTGACCAGGTTTTTGATTATCTCCAGGACGGCTCGGTAATATTAGAAGAGGAAATAGATGCCGGGGTATCAATATATTCAGCGGGATGTGGATGGGCGGGATCCCCAAGTCAACGGAAAGCGGAGGCGATTTATTGTCGAATGCTGCAAAGGCGGACATCAGTAAGCATCATTGAGATACTTCGTACGAAGTACGAGAAAAGACATTCTTGATCGTGGATGGTTTCCCATCACTTCATCCTCATCCAAAACAGTTTCCCCAGGGCCTGGTTCCCTTGTCGCTTTTAGTACTTTACAGGACTCGGGAGCAAGCAGCATTTAACACGAGGTTTTCCTTTTCCTCTTTTCTTGCCGAATGTGACATCAAATTGCTTAGCGGTCAATCAATACTTGTACAGGTGACACTCGGGAACTTCGTTGCGTTTGGGTTACTTGCACTTTGCGACAGGACAGTTACGCATGACTTGTCCTTCGGCGTACCTTATACTTGGTACGAATACAAGGAGTGGTTGTCCCAGAGAAAGGGATACCTGCGGTTGCCCCTGGCTTGCGCTGCCCTATGGAGACGACAGTTACGCTCAGATCGAGGAAGGTGGGTTGTGGAGCGAAGAAGGAAAGACGACGAAGTTGGGGGCCAAGGAAGGAAACTACGAAAGTATTTCATACGAAGCACCTTCGCACTCCCGTAACTTATAAATGGGCCTGAAACTGGATTCTGATGAGGACTGCGAAGTAAACCATCAATGATCCCTTTCTGACAACCGTTGCGCCAAATGCCAAATAGGATCAATGAAGGGATGGTGCAGGTGTCATGCTCTTGAATACGAAGTACCATCGAGAAAGATGGAAGGACGACCACCGCCATTGGCCAGCCGTGAGTGGTGAAAGGAAGACAAACCATCGAATCATACCATGTGGGTGCTAGAGTTAGTGGACTCGCTAGAAGCGCATGGCGTTCAGGGGTACTAAAACGGCATCAATCGGAGCTTTCCCAGGAATTGGAGTTCATGTCCTGGTTCTTGGCTCGAGTTTCAATGTTGGATACTGCTGGCGTTGGTACTTCGTACTTCGAGTCAGTTTGTCCCTGAAAATTTTCCGCTCTTCATGTGGAACAAGACCAAGGCCAGACCCGCCAAGGCTTTCCTTTCCCTCCTTTGCATTTTGATTTTTGTTCTTTGTACCATATTTTCTTCTTTCCTTTGTTACGCTTTTTCCAGGTTCCAGAGCTGATCCTTGGGCTTCGGTGACAATTGTTCGGGTTGTGCGTAGAACCGTGCACAGAACACTGTGTACAAAATCAAGCTCAGCCCGCCAGGTAAATTGCCTTGATCCCTCGAGGTGGGACAGCACCTGCCCATCGGTTGTAGTACGCATACAGTCCCCGTCATAATATTCGCCCGGTTTGGCCCACGGAACAGGACGCTCGCCCCCTACCTCCTTCCCCAGGACAGTGGCTCTCCAACTCGTCCCCATCCCCCTTTTGCTCCACGCCAACGAGAAAATTGATCCTTGACAGGACAAGCGCCATCAACCGTGGAAGTATCACGCAAAACTTCCTCCACCTTTCCACCAGGACGCGAATTCTTCTGCTTTGTTCCGATCACGCGGAAAACACTTTATTGCCTGCTTGAATCCTCTGTCGGTTATTTCAATTCAGCCTGGTCGCGTCGCTTGGCTGTGCGAGCTCAAGAGCCTGGCTCGAACCACTGCCAAGACTAGGGGCTTTTCAACATCTTCGAACGCAACGCTCCCAATCCCACTCTCAATGGTTACGTCTCCATCTCTCTGAGAACAGCAGATATCATCCACGCCGCTGTGGGTTGAAGCACCCGGCCACTGGCCTTGACCGAACCCAAGTTTATCCTCTCTGACCGATCACCTACGCACTTCCTCATACAATCGCCATCATGTCTTCCGAAGCCGCCGCCCCCCTCCTCGGCCAAAACTCCCCGAGCCTTAAGAGACTCCTTCCGAAACTCGCTGCTCTTCCTTTCGCGATATGGAACCATATGAGCAGACGCTCACGCATACTAAGCGGCCTAGCCGTCTTCATGTCAGTAATAGCCCTGCGCAAACCTCCTGCTTGTGTCGTTCCTCCCTGCGCTGTGATCTAACTTTATATTTTTTGATGCAACAGACTTGTGGCAATGGGCCTAACTTCCCAGAGCGGCGTAGCCCCCCCGGTTCCTAGGATATCAGTCCAATACCCTCACTCAGCTTTCAACGAGTCCAAAGTCGCCCTCCTCATTGAAAACCGACCAAACCCTATCCTCGCCCCTCTGATGCTGCATTTCATGGCCGTCGTTCCCCCCGATTGGCGATTCCGCTTCATGGGCTCCCCAGAGTCTGTCGAGCACATCAACAAGTCCGTGGCCATCCGCGAACAGGTCAACGCCGGCAAGCTCGATCTCACCTACATCCCCACCAACATGAGCACGGCTGGCCAGGAGATGATTTCTCGTTTCCTCACGACCCTGTGGCTCTACGAAACGGTCCTCCAGCCCGCCGAGTGGCTCCTCGTTTTCCAGACCGATAGTATCCTCTGCGCCAATTCCAGGCTCAGTCTCAACGACTTCCTCGAGTACGACTGGATCGGCGCCCCCTGGCACCCCAATGGCAGGTGGGGTGGTAATGGCGGCCTCTCCCTCCGCCGTGTCAGCACCATGATCGACGTTCTCAGGAACCAGGTTCGTGTCGAGGACTCCGAGCCCGAGGATGTCTGGTTGGCCGAGCGCGTGTCCCACCACCCCGGCGCCATTATCGCCAATGGCACCGTCTCTATGACCTTCTCTGGAGAGCAGCATACCGGCGAAAAGGTCCACCTCGACGATGACGAAATGATCCGCAAGTACGGCTCCATCCTCGCTGCCGCTGAGGCGGGTGAATACGTCCGCGACATTGACGGCTGGCGCGATGGATTCTACGAGCCTATGGGCTACCACACTGGCGGTTCAGGAAGTCACCTCCACCGTGGCGTCTGGGGTTCTCCCGAGATGAGGAGACACATCTGGAAGTACTGCCCCGAGGTGAAGATGACCCTCGCCATGGATGCGGCCAAATACGTACCCGGCGAGTGCAATGCCAACTGGGCGAAGAGGGATTTGACAGGTGCCTCGACCGAGGAAATGGATAGCGCGTATCCCTACGGTACCGAGATTATTGATGGCGAGGAGTATCCCCTGCTCCCGCCCGGTCTCACGCCGTTCTAATGAGACAAAATGAGAATGAAAAAAAAGATGCGCGGAAATAGGGTTTGTACGATGTGGGCGGAAATGACTTTTTTTCTTCCTTAATTTTTCTTCCTTTTTTTTTCCCATTTTGTTTCAATTTTTCTCGTGGTATGAGACAAGATTTGTCTCAATTCCAAGGCTAGCGGAAGGTTGCTGTTCCCCTATTACTCGCATATCAAGACGAAAGAAGAAAGATATGCCCCTTTATATTGAGAAACAAACAAGAACGGTGTTTTCACAGGACTAACTCGCCACTTGGGCTTCAGTTTTCATTTCACATAGATATTTGCATAATTCTTCGGAGAGGAGAGGAGGGGAGAGGAGGAGCTTAAGGCGTCTTCAAACTGATTTTTTTTCTTTTTTTCATACATGTACATGTACTTTTTTATAGGTTGTTTTTGTTGTGTTCGGTCTTGAATTTCCTTCTTATTCTCTCAACCTAGACTTGCGAAGAAACCCATTTTACTTTCACATGAAGACAAATTTTCACTCAATGTGTTGTGAGTTCCGGGATTCATGACTTGAGAGAGGTTATATCGAGACTCGTATTGTTTTCTCGTGACGCTATCTTTAAAACGTCGATGTATCTCTAATGATAGCTCAGGGAAAATCAACCAGGAGTAGTAGAGACGGCGCAAACAGGGAAAGGGTTGGAAAGTGTGCCGTGAGCTTCTTTCTAATATGATGCAGTCCTCCTCCTCCCTTTCCAGACTTTTGTTGCGAAACTCCTCTCCGTGCATACATTAAGCTGACAGGAGCAAAACCAATGTAATAAACGCCGTGGCGGGAAAGAAGGAAACGAGAGAAGGAAGAAAAGGATACAGAGAAACAACCAAAAATACAAGTAATCATGTTAAAACAAGACATCAAACGGTGTAGTCTGCGTCAGCCTAGCCAACACTTCTTCAACCACCCACAGCTTGTCCGATAGCTCCCGCAATCTGCCCAAACAAGACGCCCCGGAAGACATCCTCGCCCATCTTCTCAGCCCAATACCCTTGCTCCCTGAGCTTCTCCTTCCACAGCTCCTTCTGTTTCGTCGTGAGCTCATCCCACGAGGACGCCTTCCCCTGCGCCTCATCGTAGTCCACGCCCGCCTGAATCTGGACGCCATCATCGCCCGTCAGGACAGGTTCTTCGCGTAGGACGACATTTTGGTGCGTCGATCGGGGGACATCACCAAGCACCCTGTTGATGAACTCGTCCTGGGGATTGCGCAGGGTACCGTAGGGGTTGAAGTACTTGCTCGCACCGAGGATGGGCGGGCTGGAGCCGACTATCTCGAGTAGGGCCTGGGCCACGATGGCGAGGATGAGGACTATGACGGAGAGGGAGATTATGAGGGGCTTCGTGGCGGGGTTGGTGGACTTGGCTGCGACAATGTATCGGACTGGTCGGGGGGGGCCGCCGCGGCGGGCCGGGGCGGATTTATCGACGAACTTCTTGAGGGGGATTGAGTGGACGACAACGGTGTTGACCATGGATATGCTGGCGAGCTTAATGGCCAGGGGCCGGGTATTTCCAGACGTCTTCGGGGCGGTAAATGGTGAAAAGGCGAGGCCGGTGATTTGGAGAGGATGTGCGTCTTTGATGGTGTGGAGGGGGAAGAGTTCGAAGAGCACAGAGATGGTCTGAATGAATTTATGTTCTAGCGTGTAGAGTGATATCGAAGAGTCGTGGCCCGCTACGGCGATGAGGAACTGCACGCGATCAATCTTGGCGCCGGGCGATGTGGGCGGCGTGAGATTGCTAACCGCGAGTGCGGTGGCTTGGCCAACCCTCTTGGGTAGCTTCGTCGTGATAGCCACCCGCCCGTTCTCGCCATCCTTCGTGGGTAGCCTAATACCCTGAAGTAGAACGCCAGACCTCTTTGGAAGGTTCGCGATCGCTAAGATGAAGTTGGGCGTAAGATACCTGATGCACCGGAACTGCGCTCGAGGCGCACCCGTTCCCTCGTTGTGCGGCGTCGTGAACACCAGCTTAGGATCCTCACCCTTGCCCTTGACCACGCCCACTGTATAAATCTCATACTCGTGGCAGTACGCGAGCTGATAAGAATCCTCGCCCGTTTGGAGTAAGTCGATGTCGTCCGCTTGCCTGGTGAGCTCCACCTTGCCCTTGCTCTTGGGAACGACAGACCCCGTAGGCGAAACCTCGAAGAGGGCAATCTCGTGGTCCTTTCCTAGACCCGAGGCAGCGGCCCCCAATTGCGTACCCGAGGAAGACGGCGCTCCGAGACGGAGTAGCCGCTGATACTCCTCAGGATGTGTAGCGGAGAAAAGCGCCGTGCGCGAAAGCTCGCTGACGTTTGCGGAGGGAACGGCAGCGCCGGCGGCAGCGCGAGTCTTGGTGCTTTCGACGGAGAAGACGCGGAGGTGTTCGTTCTTTCCCTTTGCTAGCTCGGCTGGGCTCGAGTTTATACCGGCATAGACGAGGGTGGACTTGCCCTTTCGGGGGCCAACCGCGAGAGAGGACACGGAGTCTTCATCACGGCTAAGATCGGCCTCGCCAGCAACGATGAGGTCATCCGGGGTTGGGGAGTTGAGGACAGTCTATAAACGGACACACAGGAATCATTTAGTCATGCATATTATAAGGAACACCTTCCTGGTTGCATCATTCGCAAGAAAGGAGGAGGTGGAGGGAAAGAGCTTACAATTTTGTTGCCAACACCACTCCGTCCTGCGCCACCTCCACCTCCTACCACTAACCTCGTCGGATCTTGAGGATCAAAGTCGCACGCATAGAGCGGGTAGGAGAGTGTCAGCTTCGCGCTGGGAAAGTCGGGCGGCGCCATGTTGCTGGGCCTGGGGATAGCTCTGGGATCTGGGATGGGTGTCTGTGATTTGGAAGCGAGAGGCTCAAAGTGCGACCGGGGGTGATATTTCTTTGTTTAACTCTGTCGACTCGGTTTGTGGTGTTTTATATCCTCTAGATACACGTATTAAAAGATGAGGAACAGAGTTGGCCAGATACGGAAAGTTGGTTTGGTGACGTTGTTGGGGACGCCGTCATATGACGAAAATCACCAGCTTAGGCCAGACTGGCACCTTCAAGCCTTCTCCTTGCCAGAATAACTGAAGCTTGCAGGTAGCTCTCCCCGATTGCGAGCTTGTGATTGGTTGATTTTGTTCTTCATTAGTGCACTTGCTGGCAGGTGTTACAGATCGTCATGATTTCTATTAAGACCCTTGAGATCTCCGGTTTTATGTAAATCCTATTATACCCTCAACACCACAGGAAAGGGATATGCCATGGGATGCTGGGAAATTTAGAGTCTTTTGTCTATTTATGCGAATGGTAGATGTGACGATCCTAACTTGGCAGCGCTCTCTTGAGAGCAGGGACTCTACTCATCTGTTAGGTTTACATGAACCGACTTGATGTTGCAGTACGCCGCGAGACCAGCCTCTCCCAGTTCCCTGCCGATCCCAGACTGCTTCACCCCACCAAACGGTGCTCTGACATCAGAGTCATCGGTGCTGTTAATAAATACCACGCCGGCCTCGATTTCCCTGGCAGTCTTATGCGCCCGCACGAGATCCCTAGTGAAGACCATAGCACCAAGACCATACGTGGTGTCATTTGCAATCTCTATCGCCTCCTCATCGGTAGAGAAGGGAATAACGACAGCGCAGGGACCGAAAATCTCTTCGCGGGAAATCTTCATGCTTGATTTGACGTTGGAAAAGAGTGTCGGCTCAATAAAGTAACCCTTTCCTGAAGCCACCTTAGCGGGGCGACCGCCGACCACTAACTTGGCACCTTCATCGACACCGGACTTGAAGTAGCTCAGAACACGATCGTACTGCTCCTTGGAAACCTGCGGTCCTTGGAAAGTGGCCTTTTCGAAAGGATCGCCAATCACGGAGACGTTCTTGACCTGCTTCGTAAACTCGTCGACAAATTGATCCATAACCTTCTCATGCACAAGCAGCCTGGAATTTGCCGTACAAATCTGTCCCGAGTTTGACATGATGCCGAGGTGCGCATGCTTTGCAGCCTGGGCGACATTGGCATCCTCGAATACAAGGAGAGGAGACTTGCCGCCCGTCTCGAGCGTGATGTTCTTCATGGTCTTGGAGGCGAGCCGCATAATCTCCTTTCCCGTGGCCGTGCTACCCGTGAAGGCGATCTTGTCGACATTGGGATGCTCAACAAGCGCCACTCCCGCTTCCCGTCCGTAGCCGTTGATGATATTTACCACGCCCGAAGGGAACCCCGCATCTCGGATGAGATTAGCGACATAAAGCATCGACAAAGGCGTCACCTCCGAGAGCTTCAACACCACCGTATTCCCGCACGCCAGCGCAGGACCCAACTTCCACCCCGCCATGGCCAGAGGGTAGTTCCAAGGGATGATCTGCCCACAGACGCCCACGGGCTCCTTGATGGTGTACGCCATCTTGTCCGGACCGGCATCAATGACCTGGCCGAAGTTCTTGTCGCTGAAGCCAGCATAGTAGCGCATGACCTGGGTGAACTGCGGGATGTCGGACTCGAGGGAGACGGTGTATGGTTTGCCGTTGTCAAGTGTCTCGATGGTGGCGATGACCTCGGCGTTTTGCTCGACGAGGTCGGCGAGCTTGTGGAGGAGAGCTCCACGATCGGTTCCGGAAAGGCGCTTCCATGAGGGGTCCTTCAGAGCCGCGCGGGCAGCCGTGACGGCTTTGTGGACGTCATCAGGGGTTGCCGAGTAGACTGAGCAGATTTCACCTTCCGTCCTAGTAAATCGCGTCAGTCAAGGATATACTTTATACGAGGCCTGGTCGAAGAACTAGAAATGGCCCACGTTGGGTTTATAGATGTGAGTTTCTGGCCGTTGCTGCTCGCAACGAACTCATTGTTGATGAAGAGACCAACCGGCTGGTTCCACTTCTTTCCGTTCGGGGCCGTGAGCGGTACCTCCATCGCGGCGGTAGAGTATGAAGCACACCGGAAGCCGGTTCTCTGGATATGACAAGATGTATGATGCCAGAAAATCCCGTACACTGGTCGGGACGAAGTTGCTGACTCGAGGATGGAAGCTGCTATCGACCGAGGTGAGTGAAGGTGTAACATCATGCGCAGGCCATGAGGTGGAGGAGAAACCACCACCTTTGACCTCGAAGTGAGGGGACGCGGGGTCAATTCATCCAGCAAGGTTTGTCTCCCTGTGTCACAAAGGTCGGGCCAGCCTCTAAGCCGATGCGAGCTCAACTGTGGAGCTGGAGAAGCTATGGCTAGTCGAGATCGGGAAGCTATCGAGCAAGCTCCAAGCAATGGACAACTGCCAACTGCCCCGCTCATGACGATCAATTGATCTCAGCTCTGTACTTCGTGGAGAACCCGAGGTCATGATGGGTTGTCAGTTTGACATCTGGCAGCAGGTGTGATGCATGACCTCCTCAAGTGTTTCTCCTGTGCCTTCATATTGATTCAGAATCAAACACGAATATTACGAACTATCCGGTGATGAAATGCGATTTTTCCAATGCAACCAGTTCTGGCTCTTATCTGACAATTTCAAACATTCTCGGAAGACAAAATTCGGTGTGTGATTGATGGATTGGTGACGAAGCCCGACTCAGTTCGCTGAACCGTGGTTGGCTGGGCTCGCTTCCTTGGGCCCTCTGGCCTGAGACGAGATAGAGTCCGCCCTGTCATTCTTAGTGTGGCATTTTCTTTCCTTCTTCAACAGAAAAGTTGCTGCGAATGCCCTTTCCATCCAGAATAATTCCTCTCAGTCTTGGGTCTTAATCGGGCCAGAGACTTAGCCCGGATATGGTATTTGGGCATTTCCATTTCCAGCACGGGATTGCGATACCAGCACAAAACCACACCTCGAAGTCCAACTTATGACAACAGTGAAGAGAATATGAATGATATGTCTCACCCCGGGGTTTGCACCATTCCATCCCAGTTATTCGACGAGTGAGCCTATATTTGGGCGGGGCTCCGTGTGCAGGAGGCGTATGCATGCGTCTCATCCTTCCCATGTCCAAGAGATAAGGTGCAGTCTAACAACGCCACTTCCTTCTCGAAGCCCATTATTGGAACAATGAAGACGCCGCCAAAGAATCCATATATTGCAATCCCCTGAGTCTACAATATCGCAGCCGTCAATATGAACGCTGGAAGCCATCTGTGTAAGTAATTCTTGTGAATCCAATTGACGCAGTTCGAATCCAATATTGGTTCAATTGGTGCATGAAGCCCGAGGAGGCCGGGGGAGTGGGTGGTCAGATCTCGATCTCGACTCGAGCGAGGAAAAACGCTTGTTCGGTTTTGGACATTCTTTACATCTTCAGTCTTCGTCTGTCGTCTCATTACTTTCACTTTTCGTTTAGCTTTTCGGCCGGCTTTTCTTCTCATCTAGACAGTAGACCGGTGAGTAGCACAGCGCTTTTCGGAAGACTAGATCTAAACGAGCCGGTCTGACCGACTTCCAGATACTCTAGAACCTGAAGGCTAGCGTTTGCGATGCGAGACGGTTCATCAATATTGGGACTCTCTTGTTCGTTTTTATCCATCCAGTGGTCAGCCATGTGCAAGACCTCGAATTCAGATAGTTCTCGGGATCTTGGCACGGTGAGTCTCTCAGAGACGCATACGCTTGCCCCAAAGAAGAACGGGGGGGAAAACGATAATGAGCCTATCTCTACCCCAGTTGTGCTTCGTGGCATTGAAAGATATCGTAAACCCAGACAGTGTTTAGCAGGATTGTAACCCTTCATACTGGCTCCTCGGGAGTATCATCGTCAGCTCAGTGACCTACTCCGTACATATGCTGGAACTGGGAACCAATGATGTACTGCGCCGCAGCAAGAACATCGAGGGCAGACCAGATTTGCCCAAACCTACGGAAGTAGGCCCACGAACGAGGCTCAACCCAAGGTCCAGCAGAAAGTCTAAAAGGATATTGGGGCCGATTATGACTGCATGATTTTAAGTAGAAACTGTTGGGGGCCATAGGTACAGTGGTAATGATAGACACACTCTAAATGATCCTCTCCTTGAATATGTCAATATTGCGCGCTTGCGAGACAGCAGCCATAAAAGCAGCCGCGACGAGAACGAGTTGTTGCTCCGGCATGGGACCCCCTTTGCTCGATGTAGTGATTTGTATTCTCCTGTAATTCTAGCCGGCAGAGTAAACCGGATCAGTCGCTCTTTCAGGGATTCTCATCTCTGTTCAAGGCCCTCCTCACTTACATTTCCACTTACACACTTACTCACCGCGGTTAAACGAACAGACTGGGCTTCTCCTTCACCATGATCAACCGGCAGAATGGAAAGCTCTTTCTGGGCTGTCTTGTATTCATAGCAGTTGTACTCTCCCTTTCACCCTTCCACCGAATGGTCCGGCCAAGCGCCCACGACTCTCCCCTTCTCCCTCATCTGAAGAGCAACGAACAAGATGTCCTCTGTGAACAACAGCCTCCGAGAGAAGTGATACCTAACATCGTCCACTACGTCTACGTCCTCCCCGACCCAAGCGCCGACTTCAAGTTCCAGTTCAAAGACTACCTGTCCCTCTACGCCGCCAAGCACTACTGGAACCCCGACACCATTTACCTTCATACCAACGCCCACACCGAGCCCATCGCCCGGGCCCGAAACGGAACCAGCGGGAAATGGAATCACCGCATCTTCAACTTCCCCGACATCAAGCTCAACAACGTTACGTCCCCAACCCACGCTAGAAACGGCAAGAAGATACAAAACATGGAACACAAGTCCGACTTCGTCCGCGTCCAAGCCGTCGCCGACTTCGGCGGCATCTACATCGACTTCGACGTCCATCCCCTCCGCGATATCCAAGTCCTTCGCGAGAGCGGCTTCAAGGCTGTCGCCGGAAGGCAGCTATGGAGCCAGATCAACAGCGGCGTCTTCATGTCCGTCAAAGGCAGCAAGATGATCCGCTTCTGGGTCAAAGGCATGCACGAAAGATACGACGGCGGTTGGACGACGCACAGTAACGCGGTCATTACGCGTGTTGCTCAGAAGCTCACGAGAGAGCCCGGCGAGATGTTGATTATGGAGCAGGACGCCTTCTCTCCGGGGAGTTGGACCGAAGGCGATACGAAAAGTCTGTGGATGACACATGATGACATTCCTTCAAACCTGGCCAATTTCACGACGGGAGATACCTTACCGACGTTTAAGGAGGAGGAATTCGATCAATGGGAAGCTGACGACGAAGAGCGGCCGGATTGGGCCCGCGACTGGTCGTGGACGTATATGCTCCACGCGTTCTGGCCTCACGACCCACCGTCCGAGGATAAATATCCCGACGTCAACCCGCGATACGTGCTAGAGCGGAGAAGTAACTTTGCCAGAGCGGTGTACCCCATTGCGAAGGACATGTATGATAATGGCTTAATAGAGATAGAGGACTCGCATCGGAGCGAACGGAACATCGAAAAATAGGGGGCTAAGACTTCAATTGCTTGTTTTTCTTTGTCACTGTACAAGGCTATTGGGAGCATATCGAATGAATATAAATAGGGGTTGAGAATTTGGATCACATATTTTGAAAGAAATCACAAGGGCAGTTCAAGCAAGTTCAAATCAGTCACCTATGTCGGGAAAGCAAAGCTGTTTCCACGACCCAATTCAGGGATATGATAAACTAGCAAGTAAGAAGGTCTTGGATTACCATCTATTTGTAGCAGAACCGTCAAGTAATGCTATATTACTCATTTGCTGTCGAAGAAGGCCAAACTTAACAACAACGTCTACCAACACGCAACTACCAAATAGAACCAGAGGCCATGGTAATGGAAAGGTTTTTAGAGAAGAAGGAGAAGAGGAAGTCAAAGAAAGAAGTTTTCGATCACAGGCGCTCATAGAATAGAAATGTTCCACTTAGTCCTCTTCAAACGACCTATCCGCATCTTGAGATGGAAACGCTGAGGGCAGTGGGCCTCGGGCGTCCTCTTGTCTCTCGTCGGGGATTTCGGCATCATACACTTCTCGTGGAAGGATAAATCCTGCCTTGAGACTGAAGCCTGGGTCTTCCCGGGGGTCAGTGTATCCTTCCATCCCTTTGATCTTGGCTACGTGCAAAGGTAACTCGTAATTTTGGAAGACAGTCGCTTTAGTCGTGGGTTCAGACGAGTGACCGAGGCGCAGAATAGCACTGGAGAAACCCGTCTCGGTTGTTGATTTATCTATTGGGTCGGCGACCCTCCACGAAAGCGACGCCAAAGCTGTCAAGGTCTCCCTGTCGAAAAAGTATTCCACATCTTCAACGATTGCTGTCTCGTGCTGCTCCAAGGTGGTGTCCCTTTGTCCTTGGGAGACGTCGGACGATGGGCGTGCCGGACTTTTTGTAGGTGGCGCGACGTGGAGGACTTGGGCAGTGACGAAAAGTGGTTTTACCCCATCAAGCGGCTCGTGAATATCTGCCCATCCGTCTACGACGGGCGTGCGCGGTTGGGGGAGCAGTAATGGGCATGGCCGGGGGCCGACACAAATGAGGGATCACAGGTATAACCCGCGAGGTACGGAAAGTAATGACTAGGCTTATCGTATGTATATACGATGTCGCCGACATGGTGGCCGGTTCCGGACAGGTGAATTGTCGCTTGCGTCTTGAGCCCACATATAGGGCCCATCCATGGCGACTCTCGGAGATCTGAGGATCTGGAGAGCTTCCTTGGTACCTTCGAAAACTTGGACGAGTCGAGATAATACCCCTTTGCCCGGGAGGTGGACGAAGCCATGGGTTACAGTAGTGAGGACGCTCTTTCGATTTGGCATCTGAAGGTCGAGTTCGAGACTGCCGGCGCCTGAGCTTGGCACCTCTCTGGCTCGCCAGGTCACAGCCAAAGTCGCGTTCCGCTAGAGAAGGGACGACGTCGATCATGGCAAATTCAACGCCAGGCCTACCAACCTCATCGGGGGCGCCCGAGGACCGAGCCTCG